CACCCTAGCTTCTTTCACTTGTCTAATCTAGCTTAACCTAATCAAACCTAACCTTATCTCACTTAACCGAAGCTACCATAACCTAAGTTAACCTAATCTAACCTTGAATAACTTAGCCTATAATCTAACCCAGAAAAGAGAGAGAGAGAGAGAGAGAGAGAGAGAGAGAGAGAGAGAGAGAGAGAGAGAGAGAGAGAGAGAGGATACGAGTACATAAGAGTGTGTGTGTGTGTGTGTGTGTGTGTGTGTGTGTGTGTGTGTGTGCGCGCGCGCGCCTCGCCCACACTTCACAGCAGCGGGAGCAATCACCTGCAGGTAATATACTGATCACCTGAACACCTTTATTTGCATACTCGACTCTCACCACCACTGCCATCACTACCACCACCACAACTATCACCACCGCTATTGCCACCACCAACAATATCATCACCACCATTGCTGTCACCACCACCATCACTACCACCAACACCACTATCACTACCACCACCATCACTACCACCACCATCACCACCACTACTATCACCACCATCACTATCGCTACCACCACGATCATTACCACTACTACCACCATCACTACCACTACTACCACCATCACTACCACTATCATTATCGCTACCACCACCATCACCACCACTACTATCACCACCATCACTATCGCTACCACCACCATCAATACCACTACTACCACCATCACCACCACTATCACCACCATCATTACTACCACCATCACTACCACTATCACCGCCATCACTACCACTATCACCGCCACCACCATCACTACCACAATCCCCTCCACCACAACTACCCTAGTCCTAATACCATCACTACCACCACTACCACCACCATAACCTCCACTAACACTGACTACTAACCCTACAACCACCAATCACCATTCTCATCATACCACTGACCAATCACCACTACCATTATCACCATATTAAACAATCGCCACCACCACCAAAACTAATTTAACCTATCACAATCTAAACCACAGCCACCCACTTCAACAAACCACCAGTACATCAACCAAACACCACCATATCAACCACCCACCTCCACCAATAACCAACATCACCACCACCCACCTATACAAATCACCACCACTCACCTCCATCAATCACTACTATCACCACCATTACCTCCATCAATCACGACTATCACCACCACCCACCTCCACCAAATCACGACCATCACCATCTACCTCCACCAATCACCACCAACGGCCTCCCATCAATTATCTTCCTCCGCTCAGACTACCTGGCAAATTTGTTCTCTTCTGCTAATTAAAAACCTTATTTGCCACACTGGTTACTTCCCACACACACACACACACCCACACACACACATTGCATCGACCTTCTTCCTTGTTATTATCCATCTTCCTGATCCTCCTACTTGATCCCCTTACTTGATCCTCATACTTGATCCTCCTAATGTGAGACTCGATCACTCAAATTCCTCGACCGATCCTTTGACAAGAGGTGAGTAGCTCTTGATTACTCTCTCTCTCTCTTTATCTTTTTTCTTTACTTTTCCATATTACCCCCTTCTTTTCTTCCCTCCCTCCAATACGTTAAACACATTCCCTCCTTTTTCCCTCCCTCCCACACGTCAAGCACCCTCCCTCCTTCCTTATCTTCCCTCCCTCCCACAAATCAAGCACCCTCCTTCCTTCCTTCCTTCCCTCCCTCCCTCTAACTTCTCCTGCGTGGTGGTCGTGACACGAGAGGTGGGTGAGGTCGTCATCGCCCATCCACGCCAGGTCTGCCGCCCCTTACATTACCCCATCACGAAAGACACCCATAACATAAGAACAAGAACATAAGAAAATAAGGAGTCTGCAATAGGCCGGTTGGCCTGTGCATGGCAGCTCCTGTCGAGAGTTACTACCACTCTCTATCATCCATGAATCTATCTAGCCTCCTTTTAAAACTTTCCAGCGTTCCAGCACTTACTACAAAGTTGCTAAGCTTGTTCCACTCGTCCACCACCCTATTTGTGAACCAGTTCCTTCCTATCTCCCTCCTAAACCTAAACTTATCCAACTTAAATCCGTTGCTACGACTCCTATCCTGCTCGGATATTATAAGAACTTTAGCTATACCTCCTTTATTGATTCCTTTCACCCACTTAAATTCTTCTATCATATCTCCCCGCACTCTTCGTCTTTCTAGGGAATGCAAGTTTAGTTTCTTTAACCTATCTTGATATGGAAGGTTTCTAAGTCCCGGAATCATTTTCGTCATTCTTCGCTGTACCGACTCCAGTGAATTGACTAGCGCAAGATATAGTTGCAATAAGACCTCTGCACTCTTATTACTTACACTTCTATATATAAAACCCAATACTATGTTTGCCTTATTTCGAACATTAACGCACTGTTTTCTAGGCCGTAGGCCCGGGCTTACAAGTACCCCTAAGTCTCTTTCACAAGTCGACTTCTCTAGGTTGATGTTGTTAAGGCTGTATACATTGACAGTATTTGTTCTTCCAATATTAAGTACACTGCACTTGCTGGTGTTGAATTTCATTTGCCATTTTTCTGACCACTCCTGCAGTTTATTTAAATCCTCCTGTAGTGCATTTGCATCCTGCCCTGAATTAATCTGCCGCCCTATTTTGGTGTCATCCGCAAACTTGCTTATGTCACTGCTGATCCCAGTATATAGATCGTTTATGTAGATTATGAACAAGAGTGGCCCAGTACGGACCCCTGGGGAACCCCACTGGTTACACAGCCCCACTCAGATTTAACGCCATCTACGCTGACCGTCTGTGTTCTATCGATGAGCCATGATTTTATCCAATTTAAAACTTTCCCCTCGATACCATGAGCCTTAACTTTTCTCAGAAGCCTCTGATGCGGTACTCTGTCAAACGCTTTGCTAATGTCAAAGTAAATAACATCGTAATTTTCGTTATTATCTACTACCTCGAAGACATTCCTGATAACCTCCCTACAAAATCCCACTTCCCCGTGTGTATGTAATAATAATTAACGGTTTATTGAAAATGTTCAGCAGCTCGAAGGCTGAAAATATACACTGGACAGAAATGACTTATTACATACAAAGACGTGGGGTGGGTGGGTCGTTTAACAAAAGCTTTCATTACTAAAAGGAGATGGCCCGGGCTGGTCTCTTGCCATACTGTGTGAGGTGACGTAGGCCACGTGGTGCAGTAACTCGTCCGTAGGTGTTGACAAGAAGGACCTCACGTGGTCATGGAGACACCGGGTGGTGTGTGTGTGTGTGTGTGTGAGAGAGAGAGAGAGAGAGAGAGAGAGAGAGAGAGAGAGAGAGAGAGAGAGACACACACAAAACTCACTATTTTTGCTGCGTTAGTCAGCTATATAAACGCCTTTTCCCACTGACTGACACACTGCCTTGATCCTTATCAGTTGTCTTCGCCCCCCCCCCCACCCCCTTCGCCTCACCCGTGACTCCCGCCACATCATGCCAAGGGTTCCTCACACACGTCAACCACCCACCACTAACGCAGCTGGCGATCAATTCTTAAAGTCAGCTCACCCAAAGCCCATTAAAGCTGGAATCTTCAAAAGCGATTTTGGATTACGTTTTCATATTAAAGAACAAAATCATAGAATTTAAAAACATTCTGTCCCAAAAAATCTTAGACCCCCCAAAACAAAATTAGGGAGACACCAAAGGACCGCCGCGCCATAATACCCAACATGATATATAGACGTATAAAAAGTAACGGGAGTGTCAATATAACTATAAATGACATTCCGTCAGTGAGTGGGCGGGGAGCTTTTAAAGGCGCCAGTCCCACCTCCCGCCGCCAAACTCCCTTCTCACGCCTCTCGCTACCCTCTCTCCTCCTTCTCACGCCTCCCACCACCCTTTCTCCTCCTCACGCATCCTAACTCCCACCTACCGTTTCCGACGCCCTAAGGATTTATAACCACAAAAAAGTCATTATCACTGTAATTTTTCTTCTCGTGCAACAGTGAAGGCTAAAGTTAACATGACGTGTATTGTGCACATCCTGTGAGAACCTTTACAGTTACCACCACCGAATCACTTGAACTAATGTAATACCTTGAAATGGTAACAGTATTAAAAAATTCAGTACCAACAGTACATACACAGGTACAATCAACAACTAAAATTTCTTGACACTCCTGTTCCAAACTGAACTAGACACTACAGCGCCATCAATGGGTAGACACACATGTTGGGTGACTCTTGTAGTTCGGAGTCTCAGGAGAGTACAAGGAGTTTTGCTCGTGCATATTCCAAGTCACAGACACCACTACACGTACAAACATCTCTAATAATATGACAAGTAAATACTGATTATGGTACTGACCCGAGATCCTGTTGGGTATATCTAAACCAAGTTTCCTCAGAATCAACCACTTAGAGGAGTCATTACATGCATGGGGTACGGAAGCTCCTCACCTCTGAGAAACACAAATGGCCCGAACTCCCTCAAAGAAAAGGGGAATATACTGATTTATCTATCCTGTGCACAAGGCCCTCATAAGGAAACACTGTGCCATGGATCAAGACTACAGCTGAATCTGTTCTCGAGATATGGTGTTTACAATTCGGGGCCGACAGACGCACTGACCGACACATCTCCAGGTCCCTTCCCTTACGAGCCAGACGACTAAGACCCTCCTAAGGATTATATTATTATTATTATTATTATTATTATTATTATTATTATATAACATATCATGCACACAGAGAGATCTGATATACAGTACATTATTCCGTCACATAATCAGGCTCAATACATATTATGACGTCACATCATCTTGTAAATAAAAACAAATCCGGCTCAATGCCCATAATTCCATCACAATCAACCAGTACACATTAAGATACTTCAACACCATTTATACTAAACACACAGACACAACACACCGCATCCAGATATAGTAAACACCTGAAAATTAAATAATACAGTGGGATTAAAGACGAATATAATCTAAGGTAAGAGTATAAACATGGCGGGCCACTTACCGAGACGAGTACTACGTGTGTATAAAAAAGCGTGGGATCTCCAGAGCCTCACATCGGGGAGAACTGATCCATCTCACAAACCTGAAACGAAGAGGGAACAATGAACAACTGGTGAGGGTAGGTAAGGGTGGGAACAGAACCCCCCTTCCTTCTTGTTTCCTTCCTTCCCTCAATTCACCCTTCGACTTTGTTGGTAAAGAGACGGTGAGAGAGAGAGAGAGAGTCTGTCTGTCTGTCTGTCTGTCTGTCTGTGTGTGGGTGTGTGTGTGTGTGTGTGTGTGTGTAACAAACATAAACACCAACAAAGTTCCTTCACCTGTTATGATAAGAGAAAGTAAAAAAATAACTCACAAAGGTAACCCCTCCCCTTCACTCCTTCACCTCCTCCTCCCCTCTCTCTGCCACCCCCCGTCCTTTTCTCCCCCGCATCAACCTTTCTCTTCAATAATAATGGCACAGAGGGGAAGGGGGGAGGGAGGAGAGAAACAAGGAATATCGCCCTCTCAGCCCCCTCCCTAAAAACTAAGGAAGGATAATCAAGTCCAGAACACGGGTCTTAATTACCTCCCAAGGCTCCTTATTAATGGTAGTAACTGATCAATTACAAACACATTTGGCTCCAGGGCTTCCTCCTTCCCTCCCTCTCCTCCTATCCCTTCCCACTTCTCCCACTCCTCCTAACCCTGCTCATTTCTCTCACTCTAACAACTAGTTCCCACCCTCTCATTTCAACCCACTCGCTCCTTACACTCCAGCAACTGACCCTTGCCCCTCTCCCACTCCACCACGGAACTTTCCCACGTGTATTGTCCCAGCATCCTCTCACTCCCTCACCCACCCCTCTCACTCTCCCGCCCCCCTCCCTCTCCCTCTCCTCTCTTCTTGACATCCTTACCTACTCTCCTTCTTTACTCTCGACACCATTCTCTCCTTTACTGCCTTGATGATTATTTCTTGGGTTTTTTCTTCCTTCACTTCCTTCTTTTGCTCGAGTCATCATCGTTCTCTCTACTTTGCCTTCTCTTATGTCTCCTCCTCCTCTTTCTTCTTCTTCTCCTCCTTCTTCTTCTCCTCCTTCTTCCTCTTTCCTCCTCCTCCTCCTCCTTCTTCTCTTCCTCCCCCTCCTCTAGTCTCTTAATTACTCCTTCTCTTCTTTTTTACTATTCTCCCGTTCATTATCATCATCCTCCTCCTCCTCCTCTTCTTCTTCAACTAGTCATCCTCACCTCCTCATCCACTCACCTGATCAACTCTCTCATCGCTTACATCACTCATTACCCCTCCTCCCTCCCCCATCCCCCTCCTCCATCTTCCCCCTCCCCCCTCCAGCCTCCCCCAGCCTCCCCACATCTCCCTTTACCTCCCACGCTCTTAACCTCCTCATCAGCATGCACCACCTCTTCCTCCCCCTCCTCCGGTAAGTGGCAGTGAGGGGGTCAACTGAGGGTTGGGTAAAGCTTTCACTTGAAAATTGGGGATCAGGTTTAGAGGAGAAAGCTGGTTAAAGAAAGAAAGACAGGTTAAACAGGAGGGAGGGAAGGAGGAGAGAAGAATAGAATGTTATGATGAAGTGAGAGACAAAGTAACAATAGAGAGAGAGGTGAGGGGGTGACTCTCCTATTTCCTAGTAATATTCCTCTCTCCCTCTTCATCTCTCCCACTTCTTCATCTTGTCCACTTCCTCCATGCTTTCCTCTCCCACTCCTTCCTTCTCCTCTCTTTCCTCTCCCTCCTCCTTCTTCTTTTTCTCTCTTCCACTTTCTTATCTTCCTCCTCCCCACCTCTTCAGTCATCCATATCCTGTTCGTCACGTCTCCCTACAACCTGAAGGACTCTTTAACTCCCCGCTCCTACACGCGCCATTCTCCCCTCTTCCTCCTCCTCCTCACACCATCCTCCCCTCCCTCCATTCTTCCTCCTCCCCTCCTCTCACCCTCCTCTCCACGTGCCATCCTCCCCTCCCTTCCTCATCCTCCGCACGCCATCCTCCCCCCCCCTCTTCCTCCCTCACCCAACACTTAACAAACACCAACAAGGGAATCACAAAGCCACCAGAACGAGCCGACACAATTCAAGACCCAACCCAACATCTTGACACAGGTATAAAAACATGTATTGTACACCAAACAGCCAGACAGGTCACGACACCAGTTCCAGAGACAGACTACACCAACTTACACCTGTAAATGGGTTGTTATATAAGCTAAATCCAGGTAAATAAAGTTTGAAAAATATCACCTATAGTAGTTCATTTATTACCAGTTACAAGACAGAATTACAATAAGGAAACTTTGCAAAATAAAATAAACAAAATTAACCCTTTGAGTACCATGATATTAGCACTTAAGTCATCAAGTCATCGTGATCAAGGTGTTAAGTTATAGTTCTCAGAGGGTTGTCATCGTTCTCAAGAGGTTATGTCATCTTTCTAAAGGGGTTAATTCATCGTCCTCAAGAGGTTAAAGTCATCGTCCTCGAGGGGTTAAATCATCGTCCTCAAGGGATAAAGTCATCGTCCTCAAGGAATTAAGTCATCGTCCTCAAGGGATAAAGTCATCGTCCTCAAGGGATAAAGTCATCGTCCTCAGGTAATTAAGTCATAGTCCTCGAGGGGTTAAGTCATCGTCCTCAAGGGTCATAAGTTAAGTCATCGTCCTCAAGGGATAAAGTCATCGTCCTCGATAAAGTCATCGTCCTCAAGGTAATTAAGTCATCGTCCTCGAGGGGTTAAGTCATCGTCCTCAAGGGATAAAGTCATCGTCCTCAGGGGTTGTCAATAAAGTCATCGTCCTCAGTTAAGTCATCGTCCTCAAGGAATTGTCATCGTCCTCAAGGGATAAAGTCATCGTCCTCGAGGGGTTAATTCATCGTCCTCAAGGGATAAAGTCACGTCCTCAGGTAATTAAGTCATCATCGTCCTCAAGGAATTAAGTCATCGTCCTCAAGGGATAAAGTCATCGTCCCTCAAGGATAAAGTCATCGTCCTCAAGGGATAAAGTCATCGTCCTCAAGGGATAAAGTCATCGTCCTCAAGGGATAAAGTCATCGTCCTCAGGTAATTAAGTCATCGTCCTCGAGGGGTTAAGTCATCGTCCTCAAGGGATAAAGTCATCATCCTCAGGTAATTAAGTCATCGTCTTCGAGGGGTTAAGTCATCGTCCTCAAGGGATAAAGTCATCGTCCTCAAGGGATAAAGTCATCGTCCTCAGGTAATTAAGTCATCGTCCTCAAGGAATTAAGTCATCATCCTCAAGGGATACAGTCATCGTCTTCAGGAAATTAAGTCATCGTCCTCAAGGAAGTAAATCATCGTCCTCAAGGAATTAAGTCATCGTCCTCAAGGGGTTTATGCTAATCTTTGTGGTTTTGCCAAAGTGAGCCAATTAGGATGATATACATTTTTACGGATTCACTTACGAGGAATATTCACAGAGCCAAACCATCGAGAATGTCTATACAGTACACCCAGACGTCCACTAACACGCTGAGGATTATATGTGGAAGATATATGGTATAAAGGGATCAGGGAGAGGTTAACCCCTCCCTCTGCTTATTTGACCTCACGTTTAAACACACCTAACGCTAACCTAACCAATCATAGCCTAACCTAACCAAACCTAACCCCAGGTAGCGTTAGCGTTTAATCATCAGGTAATTCATATCATGTACTGAGAGAGAGAGAGAGAGAGAGAGAGAGAGAGAGAGAGAGAAACAAATGAAAAGGAGAAAAAATAAAAATGAAAGAACAAATGAGTATAAAGGTGAAGGAGACAGGTAGAACTATTAATTAGATACAACATGATGACTATAGTACCTGGTTAAGTTAGGTTATGAGATGACAAGTGTATGGAAGAGAAAATATTATAATTATTACAGGATGATGTGATGGAAAGAATTAATAGAGAGAGACAGAGATGGAGGAGGAAGAGGAGGAGAAAGTGGAATATAATATGTAAGGAATAATTGACGGAAGGGGAGGAAAATGGGAAGATTATAACAGTAAATAAAGACAGGAAGAAAAGAAATGAAGGATAAGAATGAAGAGGAAGAGTAGGAAAAGGAGAGAGAGAAAGGTTAGTGGAAATGAGAGAAAGCGAGAGAAAGCTGCGATGAGATGACGCGGAGGTGAGTCAGGGAGGGGGCCCAACGGAGGGAGGGGGGAGGGGGGAGGGGGAGGGGGCTGGCTGAATGAGGGGAAACTCACGGGTTTTCCCCAAGCGAGCTTCCGGGAGTAGCTGCCTCTTCCCCTCAAATCCTAATCTCGTCCCCCCCCCTCAATTCTCCTTTTTCCCCCTCCTGCCACCTCCCCTCTCCCACCCTCCCTCCCTCCCTCTACCACCACCACCACCGCCTCGCCACACCTGGGTAGTGATGGTGGCAGGACGGGTGGTAACTTAAAGTGGGAAGCCCTGACACACACACAGTGGACTGGAAGGCCCATGTAAACAACACAATCAAGGCAGCCTCGTACCGACTCAACATGCTTCGACGACTCAGGTCACTTGGGACACCCACGCCAGAGCTGAAGACCATCTACAAAGCCTTTATTCTCCGCAAACTAACGTATGCGTCACTAGCCTGGTCGTCTTCTCTCAACTCTACCCAACAATGTCAGCTAGAGAAGGTACAGAAAAGGGCCTGCAGAATCATGCTCGGCGCAGACTACTCCGGCTACACCAACGCTCTCTCCACCCTGGAGATGCCACCTCTCAGTGACCTCCACCACCAAGCACTAGCAAGGTTTGGCAGTGGACTACTGCACCACCCTCGTCATCGCCAACTCCTGCCACCGGCAGTCCCCCGCCCACCTCACGCAGTCCAGCACTACAATAAAATTCAGCCCATTAGAGCCCGCACCGATAGATATAAGAATAGCACCATCCCATCTATTGTTAAAATAATACACAATTCCTGATTTATGTACTGTACAGCCCTGTAAATGTATTGAACGCATATTACATCATTATGTCTAAATCCAATGTAAGTTTGTATATTTTCAGCCACCGGCTGCAACTCTATTAATAAACCGTTGATTATTATTATTATTATTATTATTATTATTATTATTATTATTACACACA